CATTATGATATTGATTGATCTGGACTTGCATATTCATATATTAGTAGTAAATTGATGTGTAAATTGAGAATTCAATTAGAAGTTATTTATAGTGATGTGGAAGTGACAAATTTATTAGGGTACAGTGTTTGGATAAATAAGATATGTTGAGAATATTCCATTAGAATTCAGAGAATTGAATTCCCTGTTAATTTGATGGAATTACTATTCAAATAATTTAAAGTAAGATTGGAAACTATAGAGTTAGAGGATCTCTATCGTTCTGAAATAAAGTAGTTTATTTATTTCAGTGACAAGATAAGGTAGAAGGAATGAGTGTTATTAGGGGAATATTAAAAGAACAAGTGATGGATACTATCATTTTGGAGGAATTGGAAAATATGTACATCAGTAATCAGTTTATAAGACAAAGGTAAATGGAATGTTTGAATGCGAACCAAGGAAATTGTATTATGGATAAGTGAGAATGAAGGTTTGATAAGTTAAGGAAATAGAGGACGAACTATTTTTGATTGGGAAGAATGTATAGTATATGAATGGTTTGATGGTGGGGTATGTTTTTATTGGAAGAAATGAGTTGAATAATAAAGTAGTATGATAGTGAGTGTAATAAAGATAAAGGATTTGTATGTTTGGCGGAAGTAAGAATTGATAGAAAAGTTGAAAATGATAAGGAGGGATAAGTATAAGGGATATGAAAGGAATGTGAGAGCATCAAGGAAAAAGGTAATGGAAGAATTAAAGTAATGAAGTAAAGTTTATGATAGCACAAAAAATTTATTGAAGAGGTGATATGTGAAAATAAATAGTAGATATGTAGACATTATCTTATCTCCTTGTGCAATGAAAATTTGAGGACGAATTTTCTTAAAGGGGGGAGATTTGTAACATCCCAAAATACGGGTTAGTGATTAAATTGTAAAACTTCAGAATTTGGTGATTAAAGTAAGATGATTGAATAGTTTAATGAATTATCTGGAAGGATTATTAGTAATTATTAAGTGAATTGAAGGGCAAAATGGTGATTTGACCAATAAATAAATTAAAAGGTGATAAGGATGAGATATATACATGTGAGAAATGAGGGGGAGAGGAAACAAAGTTTCCAGAGTTCTCTTCATCCTTCTCTTTTCTCTCCATCGTGAACCAAGCTAGAGCAAAGGCGAGTTTTCTAATTAGTTGGTTATTTGATAAATTAAAGGTTAGGTTTTGATCATTAGATGATAACTAAGCTTAAGGAAAGCTTAAGTTGTGTTATAATCAAAAGATGAAGAAGTTATAAGAGATTAAATAAAATGGGATTTTAAATGAATTTATGGAAAAGAGTTGATAAGTTGAATTTGAAGTTAAATTTGACTTGTCATCATGCTAATTAAGGAATATGAAGTGTTAGAATTGTATTTAGAACATATTAAAATTTGAGTATGATTCTTGAATTACATATGAGGGATAGGATTTTGAGGTTAAAGATGATTTTCATGGATATAAGTTGGTTTAAGTAATGATGATTGAGTTTAATGATATGATAGGGGTTTAAAATAGAAGAATTGAGTGAAGAATTGATGATTTTTGGGCTTAAAATACAATTTCTGGATTGTGTGTATCGATGCACATTCAATGTGTATCAATGCACTCTCAAATAAATGAATATCGAATGTAATTAGTGCATCGATGCATAAGGAGTGCATCGATGCACCTGCTTAAAATACAAACATCGAATGGGATTTATGCACCGATGCATAGATAGTGCATCGATGTACCCGTCAAGGGATGCATCGATACATAGTATAGTACATCGATGCATACCTTTATTAAAAGATAAAAATAGCTTTCTTTTTAGCCTAAGAAGTGATAGTTTAGAATATATCAATTAGTATATTGATATGTATTACTATATAGATTTAGAACGTAATCTCGTTCCGGAACAATTGAAGGATTATAATCGAGTCAAAGCAAGGCTAAGGTGAGTACATATTATAAGTATGATACAATGGAATAAGACTTGTGATAAGTCTAATTCCTATGTTGATTTTCATAGCACAATAGTCATGGACATGCATACATGATAATTATTATGATACATTCATAAAGTATATATGTTCATATGATTTGATAAATGATATATGTGAATAGATTCAAATGCATATGTGACATGGTAAGTGATATGAGTTATGTTATCACAAGAGAAATGACATGAATATATGAACATATGAAACATAAGAATAATGCCCATGGTATACGATATGAGAGCTATAGGTATAGTTGGCATACCAAGAGTCGAGGGTTCTACGTGGTCCTTCGGGACATATATGTATCCTTTGGAACATTTACAGGGTCTTTTGAGACAGATTTGATCCACTGGAATATGTATATGGTTCTTAAGGAGTGGTCTTTTGAGACAAATACAATACATAGGTCATTCGGGACAAAATTTCATAGCCCCTAGTGGGACCCCATACGAGCTGTGGTGACAGTAATAGTGCACAACCTCAATGTACTCGAATACCTTGAGTTTTCAAAAATGTACATAGGCCTATAAAAGGTTGTCAAAGGTAATTGTATTGTTATAGTTATATGTTACCATATTATTATTGATTACATTGAATTGTATATGACATGATTGAATCGATAAATTGCATGTTCATATTCATACAAAATGCATTATTATTATATTTAAATGTCTCACTAAGTCTATGACTTAGCGTGTAAGTGATTTACACGTAGGTACCAAGAATCAGGAAGAGCGTAAATAGGGTGGCAAGAACAGCAGCACTACTAGAAGATCATATAAGAAGTAGTGGATAAAGTATGTCTTTTATCGTGTATAGTATTGGCATGTAAGAAAATTGTCTGTTACGAATGCTCTGATCGATTTAGTATTTTGTGGTTTCTTTTATGTAAATTAATGTATTTGGTTTTAATGAAAGTTTAAAATTTCTCTGTTTTCTTTAAGTGTCAAAGTTTGAAAAGTCAATGTGACACCTTGGACTCATATTCGGGTCGGATATGGGTTAAGGGTGTTACAATGTATACTTGCACAGAATTACATGCCATAACACATACATTTACATACAAGCAAGCCACCTGGGGAATGTCTCAGGTCCATAAGGACTTACCCTATACACATTGGGCATAGGAACCATCTTAAAGGGGTGCATTAGGATCCACAATATCTTACCCTAGGCCCATTGGGCCTAAAAACATACCCAAGGGCCACCTTAAGTCCATAAATATTTTCCAGCTTGATTAGAGCTAAACTTGTAGAGATTTCATATCGCATCCCAAAGAGTTCCCCAATAAAACATTTTAGATAGTATCATAAGAATCAATAAAATATAAATCAAACATATTTATTTTTTTTGTAAAATCGGTAAATATAGAACATGTATTAGGCAAACATAGTTTATAATCAGTAAATTAGGAATAATGATTTCATTCACATAAATCATTCATAAGTAAAACCAGATAAAATGATAAAATTTCAAAGCAAATATAATAGTCATGTGCACATGACAATTACATAACAAAGAAGTAAGTTCAAGCCATTGTTCCATCTCCCATTCTGTAAGGTTCCATCTCATTTGAATATCCCAAAACCAACCTGATGCACTCCTCTTCCTAAACTCTGCAATCATCCCTTATTTATTAGTCGATAAAATGAACAGTCTAGGAAAAATGAAATTTCAGTGGCACGCCATCTAACCAAGCATCGTGCCAAAACGAGATAGATTCACCATCACCTACTCTAAGTTGTACATTACCCCTAAAGCAATCTCTAAAATTTTCACTCAAAAAATAGTTCCTTATTACCCCCTTCCAAATCTATGAAGCTTTTGAGGGACCAAATTATCCAATGCAAAGGATCTTGGATCAAGATTATTAACACAACAAATTACCTTTTTCCACAAAGTCTATTTCTCACTAACAAACTTCCACATCCATTTTCCCAAGATAGCTATATTCAAGAGGTCCAAATAAGTTATTCCAAGACTTCTCAACTCCTTCGATCTACACAACAAGGATCATTTTACCCAATGTATGCTTCTTCTCTCTTTCGAACTTCCCTATAGAAAATCAACCATAATGGAATTCACTTATTCAACACACAAGAAAGAAATTTAAACATTGACATAAAGTAAACTGGCAGAGAACATAAGATTGGTTTAATCAACACTACTCTTTCGGCTAAGGACAATATCGCTGATTTCCAGCCAGTAAATTTCTTCTAAAACCTCTAAATAACAGGTTCCCAAATCAACGTCAAATTCCTCTTAGCACCTAGAGAAAGTCCCAAGTATTCCGAAGAAAACGACCTCACCAAGCATCCAATAATATGTGCCTAGTCATTAAGGGTTTCTGCCTCTAAATTGATTCCATAAATCTTACTCTTCACCATATTCAAACTTAGCCCATACATCATTTCAAAGATAGTAAAAACCCTACTGACATTTCTCAATTCCCCAATTGAAACTTTGCAAAAAATTATCTGATCATCATCAAATTGTAAATGTGACAACATGAAAGAACTCTCTTGATTACCAATCTCAAACCCTCTAAATAACCCAGATTCAACAACCTTTGATAATAATAAATTCAACACCTCTCCCACTAAAATAAAAAGCAGAGGGGAAAGGGAATACCCCTGGCGAAGCCCTTTAGAAATCTTAAATTCCTCCGTAGGAGACCCATTAACTAATGGATATAGATGTCGATGACAAGCACAAATCAATCTACGAACACCATCTATTCCAAAAACCCATCATATCCATAATTTTCATCAAAATTCCCCAATCAACTAAATCATATACTCTTTTAAAATCCACCTTAAAGACGACACCCTTCAACCCCTTTCTTCTCCAAAAATCAATCCCCTCATTCACGAAAAATGAACAATCCATAATTTGTCTCCCCATAATGAAAGTAAATTGGGTAGAGCCAATAATTGCGTCCATACAAGCTCTCAACCTCCTCGATAAAACTTTTGAGAGGATTTTATACAGTCCTCCTACAAGACTTATGGGCCTATAATCCTCCAAGCTCTCTCGATAAATGCTCCAAAAGTGGTTGAATGCTTGGGTTCTGATGGTCACAAATACAAGCAGCTTGCAAAGTCTGGGAAAGATGACCTAAGACAAGATGCTGTAAGAATTTTTCTCTATCCCTCTGTTTTGGTATCTTGGTGAAACAACAAATCATAAAATATTGCTCAGACTTAAAATCTTAAGATACCATCTTAGAGATCTACCTCATCACTCCATTTAGCATTAAGTATAAAAAAAAGTTTATGCTAATGTCTTCTCCAGGTGAAAATCTGTCATTTTATTTGGCCAGAAAACGTAGGGTAATTTATTTAGGACGTGTTTTCAATTTCATAATAGAGTTGATGCTCATAGCCTTAATAAACATCATGTAAAAGTTCAGTTAAATTAGTCTTAAGCCTTATTTGAGAACATGTTATGATATTATTTAGGTTATGGAAGAGCCTTTCTAAAATTGTTGCAAGAGCCCTTTATATTGGATGGTAGCCCATGTGGTGCATCATTTGAATTAAACATAACTTTGTGAATACTTTTTATCGAGGCCATCTTTTCTGTCAAAAAAAAAAAAAATAACTTTGTGAATACTTTTTTAGGTTATGGAACAGTTTTTTGGACTAGTAAATACTTTCCTACATAATCACCGCGATACATGGAAAAGGAGATTAGTCATACGTACATACAAGGTATGTTCTCATTTCCTTTATAGCAAGAATGAAATATTAGAGGACACTGGTTTAGCTTAAGGTTAATTTTCAATTTGGCATCGAAGGATTGCCTTCTTTTCCCATATTTTCGAAATCTTGGTTTAAATGATGATTGCTCATAAATATCCTTTTCTGTAATTATGAAACATAAGAACATCTGATATGGCGTGAAAGGTACTTATATTAACTACTATATAACATATTATGTAGTACTCCCTCCGTCCCACTGAAAGTGTCCATCATTGACTTCCAAAAAGTACAAAATTTTAAGCTTTGATTGTGATTATTTTAAATATTTTAACCAATTAAATTTTATAAAATATATATTTAAAAACTACTTGATTTAAGGTTTTTAAAATATATTTTTTCATATTTTTATCAATAATAAATTTTAAATAATGAAGAGTCAAAGTTAACAAAAAAAAGTCAATAGTGGACAAATTTAAAGGGACTGAGGGAGTATTATGTTCTTTTTCCAATTAGAATTTCATAAGAGATGCTAGGTTGCCTAGTATTAGTTGTACAATTTCATTCTGTTTTGATGATCTTTCAATCGTTTGCAATAGAGCTCATACAATTAACTTGATCATATATACTTGAAAAGAAAAAATGGTGGTGAGAGATGCCAGAGAGGGGGAAGTTGACGATTCTTCTTGAAGAACTTGAATGATAATAAGTTCTGTTTAATTTTTGGCTCTATGGTGTTTTCGCAATATAAATCATGGAGGATGAAAAAAAGAATACCAGTGCTCTCTAGCTCTGTATTTAAGTGCATATGTTTGTGCATTTTAATAAAAGATAGATTTCTTTCAAAATTAATGCATTGTTATTTCTGAATTAGGTTGTCCCTTTCACTCCAAGTACTGGCGTTCTTGAATGGGTTGATGGCACGCTTCTTCTTGGAGAATATCTTAAAGGAAGGTTTGTTAACCTACAACTAGTTCTGTATTTAAGGACGTGAGCTTTAATGACTAATATCATTGATTTTCAGCAATAAAAAAGGTGGTGCACATGGTCGCTATGAAGCAGGAGACCGGTCATATTTAAAATGCCGAGAACACATGTCAAATGCAAGTTGCCTGCCCCTTTTATTATTTCATTAATAACAGTAGTTTAATTTCTGTTGCTGTAAAATGCTTACGTAGAATGTGTGCTCATCCCTTCTTCTGCTCTATCCCTTTTGGCATAATTAATTGGGTTATTTCTGTGAGTTCGAAATGTTTTAATAATCTGAAGGAAACATCTCTAATCCTTCTTCTCCATGGAGATAGGCAGGTGAAAAAGAAAACCTTCGTGATATTGTTTTTATTTGATGATAGGAAAAAGACAAGCGCAAAGCCTTCCAGGCAGTTTGTGAGAACTTCAGGTTTGAACTTTGGATTGTAAGATAACTAATGTTCAATTGCTATGGTTTCCATATCCTAATGTACTTCAGGTTTGACCTTTTGCAGACCTGTCATGCATTACTTTTTTCTGGAGAGATTTCTTCAACCAGCCGATTGGTTTGAAAAAAGACTAGCGTACACTCGAAGTGTAGCAGCTACTTCAATGGTAGGCATAATCTACTCTGCATTATGTTTAATTATCCTCTATTCATGTTAACATTAAGAATTACTTCCCCCCTGTTATGCCATCCAACTATTCATTTTTTAAGCTTATTGGACATTATCCAGTTAATCCATACAAATAGTTGGAAAGATAAAGAATGAACTAAAAAGGTTATTTTCTGTATCTTTTACACTGATAAAGTCTAAAGATTTTAGACAGTTGACAGAAAGTGCTTCTTCCAGTTATAGCTTCAAAAGACTTTTGAAATTAAAAACAGAAGCCCTCCCTATTTTCAATGCAGGAGTTATGAATTCTAAAGGCATTTGGGAAGAGATACGAGTCAAACGTGACAAGGTACCATGCCACAAGCTTATTTGGTTTCCACTTCACATCCTGAAATTCAGCATTATTACTTGGTTGGCAATCCTGGATAGACTCCCAACTAGGGAGAGGCTTATTCGTATGGGAATTACCACTGTTGGTTCTTGTGTTTTATGCAATGATGCCCTTGAATCAAGGAATCATTTGTTTGCTGACTGTGCAATGGCAGCTTCTCTATGGAAAGAAATTTTGAACCTCACTCACTTGGCCAAGTATCCAATGTCATGGGATAATATGCTTGCATGGGCTTCTACAACTTGGAAAGGTAAATCTCTCCTTACTTCCATCATGAAGATTGCTTGGTGTGCTTTCATTTACATTGTTTGGGAGGAAAGAAATAAAAGACTATTCCAAGGAAGGGTTCGAACAGTGGGAGATATGTTAAGCTCCATTAAGGAGACTGTTGGTACTCAACCTAGAAATAGAGATCTTAATAGACTTGATAATGTTAATACTTTTCTTTGTAACAAATGGGGTATAGGCTAACCATTTTTGTTGTAAATAGCATGTCTTTGATCCTTGATTGGGATGCTTTGTACTGGACTCTTCTATTGGATAATAAAATTGTACTTATCCAAAAAAAATATATATATAATCTGCTTTTGAACATTGGGTTGCCAAAAATGGGTAGTTATTTCTGTTTCAGGTTGGTTATATTGTTGGCCTTGGAGATAGACATACTATGAATATTTTGATTGATCAGGCCACAGCAGAAGTTGTTCACATTGATCTTGGTGTTGCTTTTGAACAAGGTTTAATGCTGAAGACACCAGAGCGGGTAGCTTATACTATAGTTTAGCAATCTTTTTCTTCTCCCGTTACTTCTTTCAATTATTGTTAATAGTAATTGGAAATCTGAGAAATAAACTTTACAACTTATACAGTACAATTGCCACTACCCTAGGAAACTAAATTACACGAGCTTAGGAGGAAATCTTTCTTAGGAGAAAACTGAAATTTAATTGCCAGTATCAACTAAATAAGGGAAGAAACACAACTATTCTAAAGCTGTAGAAGCTCTGTATAATCTCAGAAAATCCCTTGATTTGAATCAATCAAATCAGTTCCTGAAAAGAAAATCCTTGAGTGATATGACCTGTCGGTCATTTTATAAGGACTGGTTACCTAAATATGCACATTAACATGGACCAACTTTTTCTCTATTGAAGTAAGATTTCAGAGCTTGCCATTCTTCTCGTTGTTTAGATGGTTGGTCTCAGTTTGATTTGAGGTTTTAGAGACAGAAAATGTGCTATGTTTTCTCCAGGTTGAGGGAAATGGTCTTTCTAGTTTTTCTGTATCTCTCTTAGGATCAGCCAGAAAATAAATGGCCAGATTTCAGCAACTAAATATGGGAAGAAACACAAATATTTTACATTGTACAATCTCTGTTGATAATATAGGTATTTAATTCCTTTATTTGAGTCATCAAATTTTAGCAACCCTCTCCATTCATTCCTGCAACTGTGCCAGGTTCCATTCAGGCTAACAAGAGACATCATCTATGGCATGGGTGTTACTGGAGTGGAAGGTGTTTTCAGAAAATGTTGTGAGGAAACTCTCTGTTATGCGAACAAATAAAGAAGCTCTAAAAACTATTATCGATGTATGGCTTTTTTGCACAAATTTCCCACTGTATTTATCCTTTTCTAATGATGAAAATGCTTTGCAGGTTCTTATCCACGATCCTCTTTATAAGTGGGCTTTATCACCCCTGAAGGCTTTGCAGCGTCAGAAGGTATTTTCTCGAATAATTTTTTTCCCACTTATACAATTTTGAGTTCAACATTTCTTTATTTTCAATATAGAAAAGAGTGCAACATTTCTTTGGTCAAGATGAATGAAGAGTGAGATAATGGACATTGACAAAACCCAACATATGGTTTGAATGATAGCCCAGATACATAATGGTTGCCATCTATAACAAATAAATTGATCGACTCCCATGCCTCCATATTGTATTTTATGTCTGGTTGGTAATATTTCTGTATTCAACTCAGTTAAGCAGCATGTGGTAATATCTAAGTAGACTAGTTGGTGGCTGATTCATAGAATATGCTGGCATGCTTTGTCATCGGATTCGGAGCACAGAAAAGTCAAATTTTGAGGAACTTGGTGTGAGTTTTAGAGACTAATCTCTCTTGAATTTTTATTTTCTTCTCACTTTATTTACAAAGTAAAATCTGCTCTTACTTATAGGAATCTGCAACAGAAAAATCAAACAAACTAATTCAAATATAAAATTTAAAAACTAAACCTAACAGCCTAATACAATACTTAGGGATTTTTAATTGACATAATCAATAACCAGCACTCCCCCTCAAGTTGGGGAGTATGCATTGTAGAGCCCCAGCTTAGATGTAAGCTCATCAAAGGTGTTTCTTGGAAGTGCCTTGGTGATTATATCATCTAGCTATTGGTGAGTAGAAACGTAGTTAAGTTTAACAGTCCCATTTGTAACCTTCTCTGAAATGAAATGGCGATCTATCTAACTCCACATGCTTCGTCCTATTTTGATACACCAGATTCTTTGCATTACGGATAATCAATTGATTATCACAATTGAGGTCAAACCTGGTGTCATGATTCAACCCCAATTCTACTAACAGTCGTTGTATCCAAATTCCTTAACAAAGCCCATGAACAAAGGCTTGAAACTCAGCTTCTGCACTGCTCCTTGAGACCACATTCTGTTTTTTACTTCTCCACTTCACTAAGTTGCCCCAAACAAGAGCACAATACCCGATTGTTGACCTCCTGGATGTGAGTTCACTAGCCCAACTTGCATCTATGAAGACTTCAACCTTTATGTTTGAGTTTTTCGCAAAAAAAATTCCAAAACCAGGTGTCATTTTCAAGTATTTTAAGATCCTGATTGCTGCCTATAGATGTTCCTCCTTAGGATCACTCAGAAATTGACTTACGATGCTCATTGATAAAGCAATATCTGACCTTGTAAGAGATATATAAATGAGCTTGCCTACTAATCGCTGATAGTGTCCCTTGTCAACTGGAGAACCACCACCATCAGTTCTGAACTTTAGGTTGTACTCCATGGGTGTCTCTATAGGCTTGCAGATCATCATACCAGTTTCAGATAACAAAACCAAAACATACTTCCTTTGATTTATCACAATGCCACTACTTGTTCTAGTCACTTCCATACCCAGGAAATACCTTAAGGAACCAAGGTCCTTAGTTTCAAATTCCTTTGCTAAGAAATTCTTCAACCTTGAAATTTTAGAAGAATCATCACCAGTGATGATTATATCATCAACATAGACTATTAGAATAGTCTTTTTGTTCCCGGAAGTTGTTTTAACAAATAGAGTGTGATCAGTCTGGCACTGACGATAGTTCGAAGTGTAAAATAGCTTTGGTAAACCTCTCAAACCAAGCACGTGGCGACTGTTTAAGGCCTTATAAAGACTTTAGAAGTTTGCAAACTTGTCCCGAATTAGAAGTCGAATATAAGCCATGTGGTTTCTGCATATACACTTTCTCCTTTAAAGTACCATTAAGGAAAGCGTTTTTAACATCGAGGTGATGAAGTGGCCTGTCTAAATTTGCAGCAATAGACAATAATATGCGAACGGTGTTGAGCTTTGCAACTGGTGCAAAAGCTTCTTGATAATCAATCCCGTAAGACTGAGTGAACCCTCTTGCCACCAACCTAGCCTTAAAACATTCAATACTTCCATTCGCATTATATTTAACTATGAATATCCACTTGCAACTTACAACCTTTTTCCCGAAAGGTAAATCAATCATAATCCAAGTCTTGTTTGCCTCCAATGCCTTGATCTCTTCTTCAACAACCTTTCTCCACCAAGGGTCCTTTAAGGCCTCATCAATGGTTTTAAGAATGAAGCAAGTATCAACTTTGGCTGTAAAGGCCTTGAATGTCGACATAAGCCTCCCATATGCCACATATTTCTGAATTGGGTGCTGAGTACAACTCCTGACACCTTTCCTTTGAGCAATAGGTAAGTCAGAAGAATCAATTAAAGGAGCAATAGTTGTATCATTCAAAGTTGTCATACCTTCATTATCATTCAAGGAAATTGGAATCGAATCAAGTTCTTGAGCAGTCCTAAGTTGTGTAGCAGGTCGTTTCTTTCTCCTCATATAAACACCGAGTTCTCTTGCTTTAGCCTGAGCAGGAGCAGTTTTAGGTAGGGGGATGTTTTATTTGGTGGTTGTGGTAAAACTGGTAGAGGATTGAAAAAAAGAAGAGGTAACTGGTGCATCAAGGGGTAAAAGAATCTGTTGGGGCTGAAGTTCATTCAAACTCTCCCCCTGAATTTCAGAATTGAAAAAAATAAGATTTAAACTCATGAAATGTAACATCCATGGAGACATAAAACTTCCGAGTAGTAGGGAATAGCATTTTTATCCTTTTTAAGAGAGGAATAGCCAAGGAAAACACATTTAATAGCCCGCGGATCTATTTACCTCGATATTGTTTATAAATATGGACAAAAACATATGATCCAAACACTCGAACAAGAAGGGTACAAGCCATGGATTTAAAATATGGATATGTTCGAAGTAACATCTCTTTTGGTGTTTGAAATCTCAAAATTTGGCTAGGTAAGCGGTTTATGAGGTAGGTAGCAGTAAGTAAGGCCTCGCCCCAAAATTGTTTAGGTACATTGGCTGAAAACAACAAAGAATAGGAAACCTCAAGTAGGTGCTTGTTTTTCCTCTCTGCCACCCCATTTTTTTGGGGAGTATCAACACACAAGCTAATGTGAATAATGCCTTTTTCATTAAGAAAGGAACCCAATTGTCATTGTAAAAAACTCACTGTCATTGTCACTTTTAAGGACTTTGATGTGATTGTCAAATTGGGTTCGAACCATATGATAAAAGGTATGAAAAATACTCTCATTTTCAGATTTGGTTTTCATTAAATACGTCCAAGTGGTTGTGATCATCAATAAAGGAAACAAACCATTTAGCCCCGGTTACATTAGGAATAGGCAATGGACCCCAAATATCAATGTGAATAAGAGAGAGAGGTTGGGACGGTTGATAAAATGAAGATGGAAAAGATGATCGTTTATGTTTTGCAAGTTGGCATACATCACAGGTAAAAGAAGATACTTTTTATTTATAAATAATGCAGGAAACAACTTGTCGTAACCGGTTTTCGTCCGGGCACGAAATATTATACTTGGCATGGAAATTGATGTGAATAAATATTTTTGAAAATAATTTGGGAGTCGCCATCGACCTTTTGGATCAGGTAGGTCGAATACCTAAAAATTATTTTCTTTAAAAGAGTTTTAAGAAAACATCAATTAAAAAAAATGAACTGATCTGCGTTTTATAACCAAAAATTCGTTCTTTTTAATAATAAAAAGGATTCGTGGTCGGTTACGTTTAGGGAAGGATTAGCACCCCTACAACGCCCAAAATTGGTACTTTTTAATTATAAATTGTCTCTATTTATTAAAATTTAAAAATTCAAAAATATATTTAATTTATAATCCTATTATTTCAAAATTGTATAAAAAAATATTTATTTATTTAAAAATATCAGAAAAGAACTTCTAGGTGCCTTAAGACAGCTCTTTTCTTTGATATTGATAAATATTAATTTAAATAATATTGTTTAATTTTTAATTTTAAAATATCAGAATAGGACATCCAGTTGTATTAAGACTGTCATTTTCTTTGATATTGAAAACTAAATATTAAAATAATTTATTTAAAATAAATATTTATTTATTATATATTTATAACAACATTTAAATATATAAACAAATAAAAAAAATTACAATTATAACTATATATTTAAAAGCAATAAAAAAAATACTTAAAATAAATGACTAAAATATAGTGAAATTAAAAAACCTTAATTCATAATTAATCAGAATTACAGGGATTAAACATACTATTTTCTTATTTAATAATTTAGTGACTAAAATAAAATTATCTAAAATTCGGATATTATAATAAAATAAATTAAAAATATAAACTAGGGATTAAAATATTATTTATTAAAATTAAGGGATTAAATCTGTTATTTATCCTAAATATATTATTTTAATATAAAGGACTAAAATGAATAAAATTGAAATTCGAAGACTGAATTAAAAATATTATAAAATTTATTTAGTGACTAAAATGTAAATTTTACAAGTTAGGAGGACGGCGGACGGGGTTTAACTATTGTCTAATTACGCGCATAGTCCTTCCCGAAACGACGTCGTTCGGGAAGGCCTATATAAGGTCCAAAACCGGCTGGCCCGAAGGGCCAGCTTCATTTCTTCATTTTCCCTCTCTCTCTCCTCTCTGAGAGAGAGAAATTTTCTCTCGCTTCTCTCTAAAACAGAGAGAAGCCAACCGGCCGGCAACCGTCAGCCGGCGTTCGTCCGCCGCCAACCACCGTCGCCGGCCACCGTCTTCGGTGGCCGGAAATTTTTTTTTTTACATCGAAACGTAGATCGGACCGTCCTAATGACGGTTCCGATGATCTTTTCCTTTAAACGGCTCCCAATCGGAGCAAATCTAAAAAAAATACCTTCGGTTTTTCGAAGGTTTTGGTGAGATCCGGCGGTCGACTTCCTCGGTATGTTTCTCTCCTCCTTTTTCTTCTATTTTTGGTTGCTGGTTGTGGGATGTTGACTGAGATCGTTGGTAATAGTTTTTTTTCTATATTGTTTCTCTGTTTTTTCTTTCTCCGGCTC